GGCGGTGGGTGGTGATGACTAGCTGCCTTCCCTCTAGTCTTACACTGCTAAATTAGGGACGGCTAGCGCAGATAGCCCTCGTGTAGCTTTGCGCGAAATTCCAAAACAAATCTTCTGAAGAACAATCATTTCAGAATTAATGTATCCGAACGAACTGTATCAAAGTTTAATGAAACATTGGCCTTGGTAAGAATCTGTTATCGACAACCTGCAAAGTGATAAAACTTGTTAGCAATTCAGCCTTGGGAATTTTCTGTTTCTCTTTGTTCGTAGATATAATCATATCACTAAAACACGTTAATTTCCCCGTTTAAGCGCACAATGTATTCTCCCATATGTTGTAGTATGCTGGAAAAACCATGCCAAGTAAGGATTCATCTTGACAAATAGGAACATTAATGAACTCTTCCAAATACATCGTGCAACAGTATAAACGGATCGACAAGAGGCATCATTCATTTTTTTTTCTTTACGTCAAGAAAGAGTTTGATCAATACGCACTAAAAAGAAGAAGAAAGGAAGTGATATTACACACAATTGTGGCTGTAGATACTGATAAGGAAGTTACACCAAAAAAAATTTAATTCACACCCTTCGTTAGACAATAAGGATTTGACGCACACAATAGAATTATGAAATATTAAGTAGTGATGTTTTAAATAAGCCATGCTTCATACAAATAAACTTAGCTGTAAATATATAAATTCTAAAGAGTTGTTGTCTTCTAAAAATACATTCATAAATGTTATAGTAATCACAAAATTATCTAAGATAAGGGATTTTTGTTAATAGCTTTTCTTTTTTTTTTAAGTTTCGCATACCTCTTGAATGATGTTCTTCTATTTACAAATTCACATCTTTAGATAAATCTAAGCCCCCCCAGTGGCACAGCGGTATGTCTGCAGACTTACAACGCTAGAAACCGGGTTTCGATACCAGTGGTGGACAGAGTACAGATAGCTCATTATGTCGCTTTGTGCTTAACTTCGAACAAAAAAAATTGTGCAAAATCAACAGGTTGGCAAAAAAAAGAAAAAGCCATAATAGTAGAAGATTTATCGAAATAATATAACCTTAGTTTCAGTTGGAAGTTTAGAATAAGGTTTAGGTTTTTAGAATTTCGCGCAAAGCTACACGAGGGCTATCTGCGCTAGCCGTCCCTGAGAAGATCAAAAGATGCCAGCTCAGTTTCTATGTTAATTTAGACATTCGTAGCTTTTGTGGTGAAACCAATAAGTTTGTCTATAAGATGACATAATATTTAAATTTTGTGATTATCTGCACGGCGATTTACTCTCGTCACAGGCAAAATATAAATCATGTATAAATCTTGAATTTTGTATCTTTCATACTAATTCACGCCATGAACTAAATCGGTAGTCAGCGTGGTCTGTGTGATAAGAGAGAGAATGCCGCCTATGAAAAGGTTTTTTTAGTAAGATCGGTATTTTAACCTTTTTTTACACTTATTCCTCTCTGTCAATTGATTATTCACCATGCAATACTACAAACACCAGATATACTAGTGTAGAACAAGTACGTCCATTTACTTAGTTTCAACCAAGAGGCTTTTTTTTTACTGTAACAGTAACAGGGTGTCAGCTAAACCATTGATACTACTGCCATCTGTAAGTAAACTATAGTACTATATGAGATACTCTATATGTCCCACCAAAACATGCTCGTCTTTTCAGTCGTGGGGGCATTATAATGTGATGGTCAATCCCACTAGTCTTTGGTAAAAGAGTAGCTCAAGACTTGGCGGTGGGTTGTGATGACTAGCTGCCTTCCCTCTAGTCTTAAACTGCTAAATTAGGGATGACTAGCGCAGATAGTCTTTTACGCGAAATTCAAAAACAATAACCTTAAATGGTATTGAAAGCATGACAAAATATTATCTCTCTTCAAACACGCATATCGAAGAAAAGATATTGAAAAACTGTTGCTCGAAACAAATCCTACATCTTGTATTTTGCATTCGAATAGCACATTTTTCATGTCTTGTGTTACTTATTTTTTTTTTTCTAGCAGTAATGTTTCTCTGCCAATTTTATTACAGAGTAGCTCTTGTTTTACTTTCTGTTAGTCCTCCGAGGAGTCAGCGGTAAGTTTTCAGATTTACAACACTAAAATCAGGAGTTCGATTCCACTCAGTAAACACAACAGATAACCTGATGTGGCTCTGCTATAAAAAATACACGCACACACATACGTACATAGATACACACCTTTTTGTTATTATTGTTCCAGACAGCCGCCATTTGTTCATATGGTGGTGTCATCTAGTGTTCAAAATGACAATTATGTTAACCAAATTTGTCTTTATCTTCAAAATTCCGGATTAATTAAATAAACTAAAATAAAAACAAGTTTTAACTTTTCCTCCATTAGTTTCTTAAAAAAATGATAAAATCCAAATACTAGATCTGACCGATATATATAGAATTTTGATACAAGCGAAACAATTTTAATACCTCAAATGTTTTCGAAAGGTGGACATTCCATTGTCTTCAGTAAAATTACAATCACTCATGACATGAAACCTCTTTTTCTTTTGTTAAATAGAAGTTTTCTTTGTAAATATTGGAGGAAAAAATAACGCCTGTTTATTGAGAATGTAAAAATATTTCAAATATCGTACACAAAATTTCCTAACTCTCGAACATTCAATTTATCAAACTCAACTTCTACGTTGTATTAAATATACAACATAGTTATGCATTTTAGGTTAACACTGAAAATGAACGAAGAATAAATGTATCGTAAATGTTTAAGACTCAAATGGAACATCACGTAATTTCCGTCGTACCTAGTAAAAAAAAAAAAAAACACTCCGTGTAATAGTAGGGATACACAATCACCTGAGGGGTTTTGATGATTCGCCTTCAGCGAAGAACATGTATTATCACGCAGAAAAATAGATCTGGTAAACTCGGTAAATACTACATTTTTCACTGGTTTGAATAAAATTTGTGTGCTGTAGTCATGTTTCATTTACTAAAATGTATTTTTATTATGAAAACTGGAAATAACCAATAATTTCATCACCCTAAAATAAACAGCCCTTTGGCAGTAATGCGCATGCGTATGACGTAAGTAGGACATCATTCAAATTATATCCTTCTTGTTCTGTCCTGTTCGTACATTACGAGTTTTAAGCAAGAGTTTTAGGTAATATTACGTCTTCTTCTTTTGATTTAGTATTATAACAATTCCGTATTGTTTATTTTATTTAGTGGTGGTAATTTTGTTTGCGTATTTGTTTTGATTCAAAAATATTATTGTTTACAGTAGCTTTAATTCTGATATTTCAGTTTCAACTGTCATGCTGGCAATATGTTATTGATAGTCACCTAGTGTCAGCTTTAAGTTTGACATTCGTGTCATGTGGTCGAAAGAAGTCCAAACAGGGTTTATAATGACATTTGAGAGTGTTTTTAATAAGCTAAGATAGCTAATTAACCTGGCACTAACTGCATGAACGCTCAAAAAAAAAAGTGATAGATTCCATAAAAAAAAATAATGCCCGATCATTATTATGACTTTTCAAAACAAAAAACAAAAACCCACCCTCTTCCTCAATGATTCAGTGATAAACCTGAGAAGTTATGATGCTAAAGATCGATCGGGTTTCGATACCCGTGGTGGGCACATCACGGATAGCCCTTTATGTGGCTTTGCGCTTGAAACATCAAACAAACAATCATAAATAATGGATGGAGACGGCTTGAATGGGCAATGAAGAAAAACTTTAATATAACTTTAATAAAATCATATAATCATAAAATTCTGGAAATAAAGACAACATTTCCCTAAAGCAAAATTAAGACCAAAAATACTAAAAAATACTAGCTGAAAGTACCATTTGTATAAAGTACAATAGTTGATAATGTTCCCTTTCCTTTATAATGAAAAGGTTTATGTGGAAATTGGGTTGGTTGTTTGTAATTAAGCACAAAGCCACACAGAGGGCTATCTGTGCTCTGCCCACGACGGGTATCGAAACCCAGATTTTAGCGTTGTAAGTCCACAGACATACCCCTGTGCCACTGGAGGGCTATTAAAAGAAAGGGTAAGACATGTTATTTCACAACACGCAACTTTTACATTTGGCAAAAAAAAGAAAAGTCTAATGTCTTGGAAGAGAGATAAAAGAACATTATGGATGACGAAATTTTGTTATGAATCTTTTTTGACAAGAAATAGTTCGCTATGCATTTACACAATATAAAATATATAAAACAAAAAAGAAAGAAAGCACGCGCGTTTCCTGAAAGGAACATTTGTCATCATATCACGAGACGGTTGGGATTTTAACGAATAAATAAAGTTTGAAACACATAAGAAATGAAGTTGTAATTTCAGCAAATCAGTCCGGTTTTAAATTTCCAGCTGCGACCCTCCGATACTCTCTGAATCTGGGCGGGAGAGCAACGAATTTTCTTGATTTAGAGCAAGTAGCAAATTACACAAACATACATATATGTGTGGATCACATCTCATTCCTTAAAGGCAGATTGGACCATCATTAACATATGGAAAAGACACAAATTGGAGGAAATCAGTAAAACGAGCACAGTCCTGACATATGAATGATTGCTGATTCAAAGACGGCGTTGACACACGTAATAAATATCGCCAGTAATGTAAACAACGGAGTTATCAAATACGTTTCATTGGTTAACAAATAATTTAACGGAGCGTGATCAATTCGTCCAAAGATGGTTCGCATAACTCGGTATAAGTTAGATTTATTGTGAACCAGAGACTACCAAAACGTAGGTGATATTTAATCATAAGAGAAATATAATACAGTTCAGCAAACCTCCTTGTCGTATATCCCAGAAATTGATCATGGATCACTGTAATTAGAAATGAAGATTTTTACACAGAGATTCTCTCACGGACTGAAAACAGTTTTTTTTTTTTGTAATTATGCACAAAGCTACACAATGGGCTATCTCTGCTTTGCCCACCATGGGTATCCCGGTTTCTAGCGTTGTAAGTCCGCTAACATACTCCTGTGTCGTTGGAGGGGGGCCTGAAAACGGACTAACAAGCTGTGTTTAAATCTAGTGCTTAAATCAGATTTACTGGGAGCAGACGTGGCTTGATTTGTTTAAATCTGGTGCTTAAATCAGATTTACTGGGAGCAGACGTGGCTTGGTTTATTTAAATCTAGTGCTTAAATCAGACTTACTGGGAGCAGACGTGGCTTTGTTTATTTAAATCTAGTGCTTAAATCAGACTTACTGGGAGCAGACGTGGCTTTGTTTGTTTAAATCTGGTGCTTAAATCAGATTTACTGGGAACAGACGTGGCTTGATTTGTTTAAATCTAGTGCTTAAACCAGATTTACTGGGAGCAGACGTGGCTTGGTTTGTTTAAATCTAGTGCTTAAACCAGATTTACTGGGAGCAGACGTGGCTTGGTTTGTTT